GAATAATATATATATATAAGGTACAACAAGAGGAAACAAGCGGTAAGGTTAATTTCCATCAGAAAATCAGGTCATGTGATCAGGATGTTAACACTGGAGTAGTTTTTATTGTCCTCTGCAGTCTGGTTTTCTTGTGTGGCTGTGATCGATGCACACAGTGTGGCCTCAGATGTGTAGAACAGGTTTGGTGTAGACCACGTTTTCTCAGATGTCTTTGTTGGGCCTTTTTTAAAATGGAGCTGGTGTTGACCCTGAAGTTTACTAAACCCCTGAAACAAAGATTTATATTTAACGTCAAACGTGTAAATCTGTTACGGTTTAAAGAATTCAACACTTGAAGTCTCACGTTCAACAAAAGTGTTCAGTTTGTGACTCTTCTAAACCAAAATGATCCTTTAAAGTGTGAGCTTTGAAGGACCCAAACCCTGTCTAATTTAAATTCATATCTAGATCCAACCCTTCCATTTAAAAGAATAGGGACTAAAATATAGAAAAATAATTTTTGTCAGGTACAGATTTGTTGTTATTTGTAGCTCTTGCTTGCTGCTACTTGCTCAAATGTACATTTCTTCAGTCTGATTATGTGCAGTTATCCATTTGAGAATAGAAGTGTGTGAACGGGAACAGACTCACACCTCTTCAGTTCTGGACCATGGACGTTAAAGGAGTCTGTAGTTTTCACAGTTCTCATGTTTGTTTACGTGGTGTCTGTCAACGCTTCTGTTATTTGTGAGTTTTAAGAACAATTTGTGTTTTTGTGACTGGCTGAAAGATGTCTGCGCTGCAAGATATTAGGAAAATCTAGAGATGAGGACTCGTGACTTGGACTTAGACTTGAGTCGGACTACTATTAGAGACTTAGACTTGACTTTGACTTGGACCCTAAAGACTTGAGACTTGAGACTTGACTTGGACTCGTGGTTTGAGACTTGTGAACAATGCAAGACTTTTCACTGCCCGGCCCACGATGCTCACTCCCTCAATACACCTCAATGCTCCGCCCCCCTCACCTGAGAATGGGAGGGGCCAGCACCGACTTATTCAACACCATGACAAGAGACTAGCAAAATCAAAGTGTTTGGAGTCCAAATCCAAAATGTGTTTTTCTGATGACTTGTGCAGCAATTTGTATTCTGGTTCATCATCTTCAGTAGCTGTGTTTCCATGGACCATGAAAATGTGCGAATTAGAATTTTGAAAATAAATTTGCTCAATGGAAACACATCAGTTTCGAAAAAAATAACATTTTTTGATAAAATGTTTTTGCGCTAGGATGAGGTGGTTTTTCAGTTGTATCGAAATTGGTGTTTTTCGCAAAACTGCAATGGAAACACTGTTTTCACATCACAGGAGTCACGTGATCAACAACCATCTGTTTCTACTGGTGAAAAAGACGACGAAGAAGATAACAGGAAGTAGAAGTAGTAGTAATATCACAGAAGTAGTATAAAATAGTAAACTCACCGACTACAATTTCCCAAAAACACAGCATACGTAGCCGCTCCCAAGTAGGGACTTGTCTCTGGAAAGCCTCGATAAAAGACGCCGACATCTCCTCTGATGATGAGCGCTAGTGTCGTGGTAGCAACATGCTATGTGTTTATATCCATGTTTGTAATGACTTACTGCGCGAACAAACGTATTCACGCTTGACTTTAATAACATTTCTTACTTAATGGAAACACCGCAGTTGCAAAACTGTATTTTTTCGACATTAACAGAATATCGACAAAGTTTTGCGCACATTTGCAATGGAAACACAGCTACTGACATGCTTTTATCCATTTAAAAATACTTTTCTGGTATTTTAATGTAAAATCAGCAGCAGACTTGATGGATTTGTTCTTTGTCAATGGCAAGATATAATTACTACAAGTTCAAAATGAATGATTGTTATTTCAACCTTATCTGTATTTTTAAAACAGTATTATGTTTTATAGTATTATTAAAACACAATACCATGTTTTAATATTTGAGTAAAATATAATATTATAGAATATAATCAGAATACCTTTGATCAAACTACCAGTTAAGTAATACATGCAACAAGATTTAGACTTGAGGTCAAGAGACTTGAGACTTGACTTGGACTAGGGCTGGCATGATTAGTTGACTAGTCACGATTATGTCAACTATTAAAATCATCAACTACTAATTTAATAGTCAATGCATCATTTTTTTCTAACTTTGTATTTATTTTTTTAGTCGACTAATCACCTATTAGTTGACTCCAGTTGACTTAGTTGGCTCCATTTGATTGATGAAATACTTGAAGCTTCCCACTGAGTGACAAAATGCATAAATGCAAACTTTTGAGCCAACCATTTGTTGCAGTTTATGCATTATTATTTTAATTTTTTTTTGCTATACGCTTATTGCACAGGCTGTTTTCACAATGACAATACATTGGTATATTGTGCAGCCCTAATGTCTAAAGAATTCTTTCCCCAGTTGTCTGTTAATGTTTAGACACAAAACTGCTTCATTCTTTCAATTAGAAGCTTTTAGATATTTCTGAGTCATAGTCGTGTTTGTTGACTAAACAAACAGAAGAAATGAACTGACCTGTCAAGTTCAAGGACTGGATTCAGTCTAGTTAAATAGCAGCCAGTGTTCAAACAGAAACATTAAAGAATCAAGGATGAAGCATGGATAATGTTTGTTCAAAACCCCTGTTTACTCTCAGATATGGGTCACTCGACTAGATAAGGATGTCGATGTTAAAACACTGTAACACCATTTTTATTATTTACTCAGTGTGGTGGAAGAATATCTTGACTCCCTAACCGCATATTACCTTGACATGTCCTGTTCTGCATCTCTTGATAAACTGCCATTATACTGTATATATTGTCTGTTTTCCTGTTTCCGGGTCAGCGAGAGCTTGACAGACGCTTCGATTCGCGTCTGTCTGGCTCTGCTCATTCTTTGCATATGCATCTTTCTATTAAATAATCTGAGATCGAGACCACACAGTTTCCACTTTGTTTATTTCCTGCATCTCTGCCCTGGCGAAAAGGCTAGCCACGACACTCAGTGTTCTGCCTTTTTATCATGATTCTGAAAAAAAGCACATTCCAAAGTTCAGCTAGTAATAAAGCTTTAAACTTTAAACCTGCAGTCAGGAGTAGTGTTGCAGTACGTTGTGCTGTACAGACTAAATGTGTAAAGAACTAACAGGTTTCCACATCAACAAAGAGGTGATTTAGACTGACTGAACAGTGATGGGGTTCAACCATAAGACATGTGTCTGCTGTGTAATCAGACGTGTTTTTGCCATATTTTCAGATGTGTTTTTGCCGTATCTTCAGACATGTTTTTAGACGTGTTTTTTGTCCTGTCTTCGACGTGTTTTTAGACGTGTTTTTGTCCTATCTTTGAGTTGTTTTTGCTGTATATTCAGACGTGTTTTTGCCGTATCTTCAGACATGTTTTTAGACGTGTTTTTGTCCTGTCTTTGAGGTGTTTTTGCTGTATATTCAGATGTGTTTTTGCCGTACCTTCAGACGTGTTTTTGCCGTACCTTCAGACGTGTTTTTGCCATATCTTCAGACGTGTTTTTGCCGTATATTCAGACGTGTTTTTGCCATATCTTCAGACGTGTTTTTGCCGTATATTCAGACGTGTTTTTGCCATATCTTCAGACGTGTTTTTGCCGTGTAATCAGACGTGTTTTTGCCGTGTAATCAGATGTGTTTTGCCATATCTTCAGACGTGTTTTTGCCATATCTTCAGACGTGTTTTTGCCATATCTTCAGACGTGTTTTTGCCAAACCTTCAGACGTGTTTTTGCCGTGTAATCGGACGTGTTTTTGCCGTGTAAAAAGATGTGTTTTTGCCGTATCTTCAGACGTGTCTTTGCCGTATCTTCAGACGTGTATTTGCCGTATCTTCAGATGTGTCTTTGCCGTATCTTCAGACATGCCTTTGCCTTGTCTTCGGACGTGTTTTTGCCGTATATTCAGACGTGTCTTTGCCGTATATTCGGAAGTGTCTTTGCCATATCTTCAGATGTGTTTTTGCCTTATCTTCAGATGTGTTTTTGCCGTGTAATCAGACATGTTTTTGCCGTGTAATCAGACGTGTTTTTGCCGTATATTCAGACGTGTTTTTGCCTTGTCTTCAGATGTGTCTTTGCCTTGTCTTCAGACGTGTCTTTGCCTTGTCTTCAGACGTGTCTTTGCCATATCTTCAGAAGTGTCTTTGCCATATCTTCAGAAGTGTCTTTGCCATATCTTCAGATGTGTTTTCGCCTTATCTTCAGACGTGTTTTTGCCATATCTTCAGATGTGTTTTTGCCGTGTAATCAGACGTGTTTTTGCCGTGTAATCAGACGTGTTTTTGCCATGTAATCAGATGTGTTTTTGCCATGTAATCAGACGTGTTTTTGCCGTGTAATCAGATGTGTTTTTGCCGTGTAGTCAGACGTGTTTTTGCCGTATCTTCAGACGTGTTTTTGCCGTGTAATCAGATGTGTTTTTGCCGTGTAATCAGACGTGTTTTTGCCGTATCTTCAGACGTGTTTTTGCCGTATCTTCAGACGTGTTTTTGCCGTGTAATCAGACGTGTTTTTGCCGTGTAATCAGACGTGTTTTTGCCATAGCTTCAGACGTGTCTTTGCCGTATCTTCAGGCGTGTCTTTGCCTTGTCTTCAGACGTGTCTTTGCCGTATCTTCAGAAGTGTCTTTGCCATATCTTTAGATGTGTTTTTGCCTTATCTTCAGACGTGTTTTTGCCGTGTAATCAGATGTGTTTTTGCCGTGTAATCAGACGTGTTTTTGCCGTATCTTCAGACGTGTTTTTGCCGTATTTTCAGACGTGTCTTTGCCTTGTCTTCAGAAGTGTCTTTGCCATATCTTTAGATGTGTTTTTGCCTTATCTTCAGATGTGTTTTTGCCGTGTAATCAGACGTGTTTTTGCTGTGTAATCAGACGTGTTTTTGCTGTGTAATCAGACGTGTTTTTGCCATATATTCAGACGTGTTTTTGCCATATCTTCAGACGTGTTTTTGCCTTATCTTCATATGTGTTTTTGCTGTGTAATCAGACGGGTTTTTGCCGTGTAATCAGACGTGTTTTTGCTGTGTAATCAGACGTGTTTTTGCCATATCTTCAGACGTGTTTTTTTGCCGTATCTTCAGACGTGTTTTTGCCTTATCTTCAGATGTGTTTTTTGCCGTATCTTCAGATGTGTTTTTGCCATATCTTAAGATGTGTTTTTGCTGTGAAATCAGAAGTGTTTTTGCTGTATTTTCAGATGTTTGTGCCATATCTTCAGACGTGTTTTTGCCGTATCTTCAGACATGTTTTTGCCATGAAATCAGACGTGTCTTTGCCGTGTAATCAGATGTGTTTTTGCTGTATTTTCAGATGTGTTTGTGCCATATCATCAGACGTGTTTTTGCCATATCTTCAGACGTGTCTTTGCCATATCTTCAGACGTATTTTTGCCATATCTTCAGACGTGTTTTTGCTGTGAAATCAGACGTGTTTTTGCCATATCTTCAGATGTGTTTTGGCTGTGAAATCAGACGTGTTTTTGCCATATCTTCAGACGTGTTTTTGCCATATCTTCAGACATGTTTTTGCCATATCTTCAGACATGTTTTTGCCTTATCTTCAGACGTGTTTTTGCCGTATCTTCAGACGTGTTTTTGCCGTATCTTCAGATGTTTTTTTTGCCATATCTTCAGACGTGTTTTTGCCTTATCTTCAGATGTGTTTTTGCCATATCTTCAGCCGTGTCTTTGCTGTGAAATCAGTGTTTTTGCTGTATCTTCAGATGTGTTTGTGCCATATCTTCAGATGTGTTTGTGCCATATCTTCAGATGTGTTTTTGCCATGTTTTGAGATGTGTTTTTAGACATGTTTTTGTCCCGTCTTCGACATGTTTTTGTCCTGTCTTCAACATGTTTTTGTCCTGTCTTCAACATGTTTTTGTCCTGTCTTCGACATGTTTTTAGGCATGTTTTGGCCATATCTTCAGATGTGTTTTTGCTGTATCTTCAGCCATGTATTGGCCGTGTCGTCAGACATGTTGTTTGCATGTCTTCATATGTTTTGCTATGTTTTTAGACATATTTTGACACATTTCTGCCACATTTTTAGATATGTTTTTGCCATGTCTTCTCAGACATGTATTTGTTCAGTCTTCAGACACGTTTTAGCCTTGTTTTTGCTGTATCTTCAGACACGTTTTAGCCTGGTTTTTGCTGTGTCTTCAGACACATTTTAGTCGTGTCTTTGCCATGTCTTCAGACAGGTTTTTTGCCTTGTCCTCAGACATGTTTCTGCCTTGTCATCGGATATGTTTTAGGCATGTTTTTTTTTTTGCATGTCTTCAGATACTTTTTTGTCATATTTTCAGGTCGTGTGGTGAACGTCTCGAGCTTCGTCAGTGTCCGAGCTTTGAACCAGTGCAGCCCTGAGCTCCAGCAGCGTTTCCGCAGCGAGGACATCACTGAGGACGAGCTGGTGGGACTGATGCAGAGATTTGTGGAGGAGGCTAAGAGGGGCGAGCACAAGCAGGGTGGCTGGCCTGATACAGCGTATGGAGTGTCTAAACTGGGTCTGACGGTAAGGTTTTATATTATTTACACAATGAACTCAGACAAGTTGTAGTACAAACTTCTACATCCATAAAAACTGATGAGAAAAAAATACTTAACATTTACTGAAGAACAATAAAAATTCTTTGTCCCCTCAGACTCTGTCCATGATTCTGGCTCGACGCCTGTCTAAGGAGAGACCAAATGATGGGGTAACTAAAATACGGTTGTAATGTATTTTCAGTGGTTTTTTTGTGTCCAGGATCTAATATGTTGTGTTGTTTTTGTTTCAGATTTTGCTGAACGCCTGCTGTCCAGGATGGGTGCGCACCGACATGGCCGGCCCTAAAGCCCCCAAGTCCCCAGACGAGGGCGCCATCACTCCAGTCTACCTGGTTCTGCTGCCACCTGGAGCCACCGAGCCTCATGGGAAGTTTGTCTCTGAGAAACAAGTGCAGACTTGGTGAAAAGTTGTTACTGTTTAAACATTTTATTGATAACATTTACCAAAAAAATGGATGTTTGTGTGAATTAATCTATACTGATTTATTCATGTTGCCTTCAGTGGTGAAAACACTTTTTATTTTACACAATTAAAAGTGTCATGCTTCCAAAACTATATAAAGATAACTTTTCTGAAAAAAATAATAATGTTTTTCTACAATAAAAGACTTTCTTTCCACTCCTGGACTATATAGATTTTAATTGTTATTCTGTTAGCCTGGTTAGTTCTGACCACTGTAACTCAAAACCCACAGAGAACATCAGAGTGAATGTTCCATCTTGTAAAGAGTCCAAAGAGAGGATTAAACAGGATCTCAGGACATATACAAACAGGTCAGGGGAAAAGGGCTTGTTTACACAGAAGTGGTTATTTTTTAAGCAAAAAAGCACTGGAGAACAACAGGAACGTCTGATTAGAAAGACTTACTTCAGTTTGCAAACAGATCTTAAGTGTCTTTTTTAAAATGAAACTCAGTTTCTGGCATATTCTGGTACTTACCATCCATCTATACCTATATCTACACTCACCGGCCACTTTATTAGGTACACCACGCTAGTAATGGGTTGGACCCCCTTTTGCCTTCAGAACTGCCTCAGTTCTTTGTGGCATAGATTCAACAAGGTGCTGGAAG